AAGCTGTAATTTTAATTAATTATTATTGAACCAGATGTCATACTCTTCTCCCTTGAACTTTATAGTGACACAATCATTGAATCTTGTTTCAGGAGAAAGTAGCAATGTTTTAACCTTATTCTCCTAAACCCTCCACAAATTCCACAACAGAATCTCCTCTGTATCAGTGAACAAGAGCAGAAGATCCAGGTCCCATAAGAAAAATCTCCAATCTTTCTTTTCTCAATAGTCACCAAGATATAACTATTTTGCTAGGCTACATAAGCACCTGAAGGCAACATGAAGATTTTTTCACGCATTTCACACTAATTTAACCAATCTTGTTTATATATATATATGCTGTTGTTGGCTTAGAAGGCAAGTAACCACTTGCCTTCTCTTTATAATAAAAGCATAAGACACTTACAAACAGGGACAAATTCATATAAGCATTATATCCTAAGTTAGATTTTTCAAAATCCCTTTAGCACCAATAACTTCTTAACTGTTAATTGATGGGAAGTTTCAAGTGCTTTCAAGTGCTACACCTTCAAACTGAAATGTACTAGGAATCTTAGTTTTTCCATAAATTTATTACATATGATTTCTGTACATTTTCTTTATTAACAGTTTAGTTGTATGTCCTATTACATTGGCAACAAAACAAATTCTGTTTTGTAATTAGTAATTAAGTATTCATTTAGTTTTGCAAATATTAGAGAAAATGTCAATGTCACTGTCCTCCTGTTGTTCATTGATTTGCTTGAGCGGGCCCAGCAAACGTCTCGATTGTGACACTTGTTACTGTGTTTGGGATATCAAATACATCACCGGTAGCTTGCCAGGCTTTGCCATGTGGGCGAGGTACTCTCGTAGCTTGCTATAGGAGGAAATAGTATTTGATTTTATTCTTGCAACTAATAAAGCTGGACTGCTATTAAGAGTAAGTTGTAAATACATTTAGTGAAGCAACTTAATGTCTCTAGTTTCAAATACACTAGTTTCTGATCCTAGAGGACTTTATATTTTATCAAAGTAATAGTATTCCAATGGAGAAAAACTTTCATTTCAATCAATAAATCATTTAGCATTTACCATTTATTTTCTTATTAGCTAACCTGATGAAAATAACCTATAGACAATACAAAGGACATTTATACAAATGAAAATAAAATAAAATAGAACAAATGGACTTGCAGTGTTTCTGGAAAAAATCAATTATAAAAACTAAGCTATTATACCTATTGTGTACAACTTCACATATTTAAACATTTTAAAACCTAAAACACTTTTTAAAAAATTATGTAAAACTTAAAAATATAGCCAACTGAGTAGCTGACTTAAAAGTAATGAAATAAATGACAACTATTACTTGTGTTATAGTAAGTGTACACAAAAAGAATACTGATGTTTGTACCAGAGAGATAGTACAGTGGGCAAGGTGCTTGCCTTGTGCAACACATCCCATGGTCACCCAGGCACTCCAAGAGTGATTCATGAGCAAGAGTTAGGAGTTACCCCTGAGCATTGCTGAGTGTGTCCCCAAAATAAAACAAAACCAAAATAATAGAATATAAATGTCTAAAACAAACACCCTTAAAATTTATTTTAAAATATTTTATCTTTTGTTTTTCTCCTCTTTATCATCACAACTTTTTACAGAGTTCAAATGCTGAAATGGACTTTTATATCTCACAAGTAGGCATCACTCCATTAGTGTCAATAATTCTGAGAAATCATCTCATACACATATACATTAAAATTTAAATATCATCATTTCTATAGGCTGGAGAGATAGTATAGTCAGTTGAACCCTTGCCATGCATGCAGCTGACTGACACTTCAAACAAAGTTGGAATTACTATGAACTTAGATGGAATTAAGGGTTTTCTGAATTCATCACTAAAATCTGAACAGCTACATACTGTCAAGTGTAGCCCAACTATGTCCTTAATACAAATATTTCAGATAAAATTACATAAGTCATTATACACATGGAAAGAGAATTAACTACATGGAAACTAGTCACTCAAAGCACAAATGAACCATGTTCCAAGGAAGCCCATAAATCTCAACAGTCAACCAATAATTGATCCCTTCCCCCAAAAGTATCAAACCTCCATTTAAATGTGTTTCTTCTGCATAAAATTGAAAACCAAATGGAAAAATACATATTTAAGATTTCCCATTTCAAAAATAAATTATGGCCTGGTAATCATAAAGTAAATATAATTGGCATGGGTTACTTTCTGAAGAATATTTTAATCAAAATACAGTAAATTAAATAAGGTATGGAGGGAGATGAACAGGAGAAAGCAAATGAACAAATGAAAGGATAAAGGAAAGAAATAATTTTAAAATTTTACATTGTTAATGGTTGCTGAAAAAAAAAATCAGAGGGGTATATGCAGTTAGATGACCAAAACTGATGTCTAATATTGAACCAGTCTCTACTATTCTTTTATTTCCTTATCAAACATCTTTCTTAAGTCCCATTGATTTTTTCAGAAAATATGATATTTTATTAATAAATAGTTTTTAAAGTTTTTTTAATACTACAGTAGTCACTAAACTGTAAAGGGAAGAAACTCAATTGCATATTTCCTTATCAAAATTTGAAAAGGAGCAACCAGAGTTTGGGAGCTATGACAAAGACAAAATAATTAAGAAAATTCAGAAAATATTATTATTTCAGTCTAGCCTTCTGCTTTATGGGTAAAAAGCACTGGAATGGGAGAATCAGTAACTGACAAGCCTTTTTTGCATATAGTGACCTCCTCTCCTTGTACTACAGGAAAACATTTCCACCTAGAGTCCTTTCACAGAATATCCAGAGACCAAATGAAATCAACCATAATGAATACCAGAGCCAGATAATAATCAGTTTTTAATTGCAGCAACAAGCCAATTAATTTGTGACAACATCCTATCACTTCTTACTCTTGACAGGAAGTTTCAGAAGGCTGAAATGAGTTCCCAGGTCAATGGGATCCCTGTAACATTTCAGCATTTGGTATATAATTAAAAATTATATTTATTAAGGAATAAAAAAGGTTGAAGTCTTAAATTTAAATTTGAGGTTACAGGCTAGCCTCACCAGTCTGATTTAATTTTCAAGGAACACAAAATACCTTATGCATCATACACACAGATTCTTCATACTAGTAATCTTCCTTTGGATTCAGAGGTACCTTTTAGAAGGAAAAATTAATCTACATTATATATACCTTGCTTAATCCAACAGAAGAATATTTTGTGTCTATATATGCAGTTAATATTGATGAACAACTCATTGTGTCACATCATAAAATTTCTAAAGCAATATATTTTAGGAATATAAGCCATTCTTTTTTAAGATTTTGGCATGGCATTTCTTTATTCTTGCCTCTACACAGAGCTCTATTCAATGTAATTCATGTATGGCAAACTTTATATAAACCCTGAAATCATGTTGAATGTTATTCTGGAATGAAGAGAGAAAAAAGGAACTAGTAAACTGGCCTGCTTCCACTTCCACTACATTATGCTATTATATAATATTAATCAAAATATCAACTAAAAAGAACCCCCACAAATAAACAATAACCCCCACAAATAACCACTTAGAACAGCATCAATAGGGATCCTGCTCCATTAAAATTCTTAACATAAAAATTCTAACAATATCTCACAAAACATTTCACCAGCTTTCGACAGGAAGTGCTTTTTTTTTTCTGCCTCATACTCAACTGTATTGAAAGTAATGCATGCTGCTGGATGATGGTAGTGCACTGAAGAACATCTCCTTCTATAAAAATGTTAGCCACCACTTTCCATTTCTGAAAATTATGTTTTACTATGTGGTCCAGTATTTCACAAATGCTGCGTGTGTTTTGGTTCTTATTCAATATTCCTAGATTGTCAAACACCCCAACATATTTTGTCAGCGTTTTTTTTTTTCTACAGAAGGTTTAATATCCCAAGTCTTGTTTGTTAACAGCCACCTTTAGAAGACTGAAACTGCGTTACTGGGTGTAAAATAACGCATGTTCTGCACACACAACACAGTACAAATGCATCCAGCGCCAATTATCCTACAGAAAAGGTAAGCACACACAATACCCACTTTTCTTTCTTTCTTTTTTTTAACTGAAATATAATCATCAAACACATTCAGTGCCCACAGTGCCCAAGGCAGTAGTACCTAGCAAAAGTGATCTCCGTTAGTGACTAGAGCAAAGATTATGTCAAAGACTGTGCAATGGGAAATGAATCAGACTTCATCAAATAATCTGAACTCCAAGGCCATTTCCCAGCAACCACCCCCGCCACACATCCACATAGAGACACAGGCGCGCGCGCGCGCACACACACGCACACGCCACCCCCTACTTATGAGCTTGAACTTCCCCCTCCTTCCTCAACCCTGAGCTGCTCTGACCATGACTTCCTACTCAAGCTTCTCTCTCTCTCTCTCTCTCTCTCTCTCTCTCTCTCTCTCTCTCTCTCTCTCTCTCTCTCCCCGCCTCCCTCCCTCCCTCCCTCCCTCTACCTCTCTGCAAGTCTTTCAGATGCTAGGGCTTTGCTCAGGTCTCAAATGCAATGCCCTGGGGAATGGCAATCAGTAACAGGCTAGATGGTGAGTCTTCAGCATCCATGGCAAAGGAAAGGGAGGAAAGAGGGTGTGGTAGCTCTTCACCACACCCCAGCCCACTACTCCAGTTCGCTGCGGTTCAGGGGAGCACGGCAGGTCCCCTTGCTCAGCTCGGAGCAGCGTGGCCCAAACAGCCATCCGGCACACTCTGTACAAAACTTCCCTTAGAGCAGGCAAATATTCAGGAGGAGGCGGGCCACATTAGGGCAGAGTTAGAATATACATGCCACGAGGCGCTACCGGGCAGCCTGAAAGGCACCTTTAGATGCCACCCTCCAGCACGGCATCCTGCACTCCCCGGCACCGTGGGGAGGTGGATTATTTTGCCGGCGAATGGACCTATCTGCAGGGCAGAAGAACAGAGGAGAGAGGGGAAAGAGGACATTACCTCCCGGCACAGCCCTCGGGGCGCGGACCACGCTCGCTCGCGTTGGTGAAGTGGCGGTGGCTCCCGGGCACGGCTTTCTGGGGTTCAGCCTGGATTCGGACCCGATCCCGCTGGCTCTGCGCGCAGCCAGGAGGCGCGCCGGGACTCCGGGCTCGCCTTCCCCCGCCCCAGCCGGGCTCGTCTCCCCCTGCCGCGCCCGCTCCGCCACCCCGCGGGCACGCTCGCTCCCCGCGCTCGCCCCTCCGCCTCTCGGCGCCCCCACACCCACCCTCTCCGATGCGCCCGCCTGGAGCCTCTAGCGGACGCGAAGGGAAGCGCAGCCGACCCTCGGCGCCAGCCCCATGCGCCCCCTTCCCCTCCACCCCACACTCCACCACCCCGGATGCCACCGCTCCCACCTGTCCACCTGCGCCAGGCTCACCTGCCACCGCGTCCGAGCTGCCGGTGCCCACCGCGCTCTATAGCAACCGGGTGGGGGGCTCTGTTAATGCTAAAATATATAGGAACGTGATAATGTCCCCAACACACGCACAGGCACACACTGCCAATCCAGCAGGCCAGGGAGTCAGCAACGTCCCTATTTCTATAGGTTTCCAAAAGTGTCAGGTCAGGACACTCGGTTCAGCGAGCTGCCTCCGACCTGACCAGCGGCGGGCGGCGCAGGTGCCGCCCCACTTACCCACCCCAGCCGTTGGCTGGCACTCGAGAAGCGCGCGTGGCCCCGCGGGGAGAGACGGTCCTAACTTGCTTCTACCCCGTCACCCCATCCTTAACGTCGATTTCAAGTTCTTCTTCCCTTGCAGTTCCACCCTGAGCTTGGGCTGCTTCTTACCTGGAGACATGATTCATTTTCTCCCGGTCCTTAAAACCTAGAGCCGCCGTGGGGATGCGACGCGCAACGGCGTGGGGATGTTCCTGGACGGCCCCAGTCTCGGCTCGCCGGATGCTCCTTTTTCCCGAGAAGGAGAGTGCGGGAGAGCAAAAATCCCTTGCACGAGAGGCGCCTGCAAATCTTGCAGCGGATGCAAACGCGGCGGGGGAAGAGCTTCCTGGGCTCTGGAAGTCTCCCAAGACCCTCCTCGGTCAACTTGGCTTTTCTATGGAATTTTCTTCTTTAACCCCACGGGCCTGGCGGTGAATGCTCCGGCGTCAGGCATTCTGCAAAGGAAGTGGGTATTTTCCGCCGGTGGCCGCTCCTCTGGTAATAAAAATCCCTCCCCGTGTCCGCCCCTTAATTTGGAAAAACCACCACGCCTGGTCCGGGTGTGGTGGGCGGCGGTTAAGAAGAGCCGTCTCCTAGCCCCCGCTGCAGAAACCCGGCTTCCCCCGCAGCCCTTCGAGGAGGCGTCTGCGCCGGGGAAACTTTGAGCCGAGGCGGCCGCCACCGAGTGGGGCTGGGCTGGCAGCGAGAGGCAGCCGGAGAGAACCAGGTGAGGAGGCTTGGAGGCGGCTGCAATGAGGGACACCTGGCGGGCGCCGGCGGCTGGGTCCGGGCACCCGGACTCAGCGCACGGGCCGCGCGTGCACAAGCGCACACACGCACACACACAAATACACCCGCGCGCGCGCAGCGACACACGCACGCCCAACCCCGTGCAGGGGGCCCCCAGGCCACTGGCGAGCAAGAAGTCGGAGCAAAGGGCGGAGGAGCCAGAGTTAGGATGAATGTGGGCGACCGCGGTGGGTGGAGGGTGGACACTCAATCACTCCTCCCTAGTTAGCGAATTGCAGCTGCAGGGCAGTGCAGTGCCTCACAATCGCTGGCCGCTCAAGTCCCTTGGCCACCTTGCAGGTTTCTGCCCTCTCTGGCATCTCGGTTCCCAGGCCACTTTAGTCCCCCCGGCACTCAGCGTGAGGTCACTAGATTAAAGATTAACCTTGTCCCCGTCTCCTCTAGCTAGGGCCACCTACGCCCCTACTGCCGGGGTGCAAAGAAGTGGCTGTGCAGCTGGCAAGGGAGCCGAGGGGCTCCCCGAGGTCCTTCGAATAGAAGAGCCGGTTTCTCCTCTCCTAAACACAGTCCCCTCTCATCCTCCCTTTCCTCTTCACGCCCACAAATAACATTTCTGCACAGTCGCTCTGGAAGCCCGCTTAGGTCTTTTCTGAAAAGAACCGCTTGGGGATTTCGGAATCGGGCCAATTTCGTGGGTACGCTTCTACTGTGAACTGGACGGTAGCAGGTAAGGGGCGCAGCTGGAGAAAGGGGGCGGGATTAGGAGTCTGGAGACCCAGCCCCTTTCCCGGCCTTTTCCGAGGTTTTGCGGCTGGAGTAGCAGTCCGGATCCTCAAGGAGCCCCTGCCCCAACTTTCTCGAGCCCTGGCGCCAACTTCTCCCTCTAGACTGTTGGGTATCCACTGCCGGGGAGCTCCGACCCAGAGAGACGGCGATCTCAGAAGCTCCGCGAGTTTCTTCCAAGCTCCGGAGGAAGGAGTCTCCCAGCAGAAGTTTGACTTACCCAGCGGTGGACAGCTGGGATTTCTCACTGGAAACTTTTGCCCTCTATTAGATTTTGTTTGATTTGATGGCGTTTCACCTTTGTATTCTACCAGTGCAGCGTGACTACTGCCACTCTGACACCGTCCAGGAAGCGGATGGCTTGCGGGGTTTCTTACTCCGGAGCTGGGAGAATTTCTCCAGTCTGGGACCTGCTGGGGAAAGCGAAGACTTAAGTAGCGCGGATTGCTGCAGACGGCGCCAGGTTCCTTTGCTCCCGGGCGGATCGCTTAGCAGGTTCTCGGGTCTCCAGACAAGCAGCTCACTACAAGCAGGTGCCACGACCGCGCTGCGGGAAACCACTCCAAATGAAAAGGCAGCAACACTTAGTCCAGAAGAGGATCTATGAATACCAGACTCTGCAGTCACCAGGGCGGCGCAAACGTGGGCCAGGTCCTTCGATTTGGTAGGAAAGATCAAAGTCGGTGCTGAGAGGAACTTTAGAGGAGTTACTCGCATTTCAGATATCAAACCAGAGGATTTGAAGGTGAACAGCAATGCGGAGCTCTGGATCTGCAGATCAGTCCGGCCAGGCACACATCTGAATTTCAGGGCTGATGGCCCTGCTTTGGAATACTTGTGAGCTGATTCAGGAGGGCCAATGGAACTGGTGATTTTCCGGGGTGATGATGGATGGGTCGTGACTGCCCTTTGGAGATAGGAGATTGCCCTGAACAATCTCCCTTAAACTTCCTAGTGTTCACAAAGATACTCACAGATGGAGTCTGGTTGAGCAGGTCAGGTGCTCTGCAACTCTCCTTGATGCAGTTAAAGGAAAAGCTTGAAGTTACATCGCAGAGCTTGCAAGAAGAAAGTCTGAATTACTAAGAAATTCTAAAAGACAAGAGGCATTTTATTTCTGTGTACTCCTTTGCCAGGAGATACTTTTGTTAGGTTCAGTGTCCTAAAGTGTATCTGGGACACTGACATTTTTTAGGTATTTCAAGTGAAGGATGTTCTAAATGTTTTGAGTCTGGCTTTAGATTGTACACTTACTATGAAAGAAGTTATGATGCTTATTCTCATTCTGATTCCTAATAAATAACTTTCAGCCATAGTGAAGTAAAGTAACAATAAGAATTATAATTAGCTATTTCTAACAAAAGGCAATAAACTCTGATTTCTGATTACATAGACCTCCCTATGTGTTAACATTAGTATGCTGTGACAGAATATTGCATAAAATTACAAACCTGCAATCAAGAGACTTTTTGGTGAGAGAAAACGCAGAATTCAGAGTTGACTCCTCTCCAAAAAGAGTGTCCCGTAGTTCCTTTTGTTGATTATGATGTGTAGGTTATTACTGTTACTGACTTATTAAACCTAAGTCATTTGCACAATACCCAAAAGGCATCATGCAGTTTTGTGGAATATGCCAGCCATAATGGAGTCTTTTGCAATTATCCTATAGCAATTATCCTATATCCATTTTGCCTTACACAATGTATACAAATTAATTGTAATTAATTGGGGTTGGGGGAGATAAAATCACATTCTAGTATGTAAGTACCTTCAACAAAATGAAAGCCCTGTGTATTAATATTCTAGACCCCTTTCAACAAGTTTTCACTTCATATTCATATTGAAAAAAATTTTCTCAATGAACTTTAATTTTTTAAAATGTAAACTTATGGTTTCTTATATAAAGCAAAAGGAGGATACAAATCATTGTTTTCCACTTTTCCCAGCTTATTTTTATAATGAATATTAGAGAGTAAATTAGAAGCAAGTGTTGGGTCACGAGATTTATAAAATTCCTATGCACTTACAACTAGCTATGGAATCAAAAAGAAATTTTTGATTTCTTGGAATCAAAAAGAAATTATTAATATTAATATTCAGAGATAAAATAGTGTTCCAAATCCATCTCAATTTAAAATAACTACTGTATGATTTTAGTGTTCTATCTAATTTATAAAATGAATGTTGAAGTTGATATGTATGCTTTGTCTTTATAATAGACTATCGCAAATCTTTTATTGCCACAGGGTAATTGCTGCAAAAAAATTATATCCAAAATACTTTGTTTTCCCTTGGAGATGGCATTCTATTCCCTAGATATGTGTGAGTATATTTACTTGTTATGAAGTTATTGTTTAATTATTGGTATGCCTTTCCAGTGCTCTGTGAGATCTGAGAGCAAGAATGGTGCCAGCCACTCTGCTCTTCCTCAGCATCTAATATCGAGTAAGAGGGAAGAGATACATATGATGATGTTGATGCTGCTGCTGCTGCTGATGATGGTGATGAGAGCAGTGAAACCTTTCTTTTTCTCACTTAGACCCTCAACTCTGACATAATTTCTCTGTCCTCCAATTATAAGGAAACTTACACACAAATTTACTCAAGATCACAAAGCTATTTTGTTGCAAATGTGTTGGGATTAGAACATATCTGTCTAATTCTGAACTGTAAACTATTAGTCACATTGTTTTACTAAAATAAGCACCACATTTTTAATTATTCAAGTTAAAGGAATATATATATATATATATATATATATCTGAGTAAAGCAATATGACAAATTCCAAATAAAATATCTGCCTATTATACATCTAATCAATATTGATTTAAGTGTAGGAAACTTCAAATAGTGTAATTCTCTTTTTCAAAACATGATATTATCACAGGGCAGTCTTACCATGATAATGCCAACTACCTCATGAGTTTCAGGTTTCTGCAAAGGGACAAGATATGCCACTAGTGTCTTCATAGTTTCTAATAAAAACTTTACTGTTTTCATTTTTTATTATTATATTTTAAATTTTGGAGAAGACCACACCAGTGATGTTCAAGAATTACTCCTGCCTCTGCAATCAATTACTACTGACTGGGCTGGGGGCACCATATGTGGTACCAGGGGTGAAACCCAGTTCAGCCGCATGCAAGAGAGTGCTTACCCCACTGTTCTATCTCTCTAGCTGGCCCTATCTTTGCATTTTTAAGTGAACAGTGTTGTGAAGTTTCAGTTATGTAATATTATTCATTTGATGAATGTGCTGTAAATCATTGTTTCTGCTAAGATTATTTTATCACTATTTTATCACTATTTTATCTCTATTGTTTCTGTTAAGATTACTACAGTTTATACCAAAACATTTAGGAGAGTTAATCTCATGTTAACCATTCTTATTCCAATTAAAGATTAAGGACTCTGGCAATAGAAAGTTCACTGGACATAAAATTGCATAAAAGCAGTCAACAAGTCATTAGAGATGTCATTTATGATATCTTATTTGAAATATCAAGTTCAAGTTCGGTCAAATAGTTCTAAAAGTTATTCTAATTCATATTATAATCACTATACTCAACACCTATCTTGTACCAGGTACTATTTGAAGATAACTA